GGATGTGTTTCTCTGGCCTTTTTCTTTGTAAAAGACAGTGAAACAACCCAGTTTCTACAGTCTGTAACACCACACATCAGCTGGAAGAAGGGCCTTGGTTAAGAACACAGAGCCCATGACTTCCATCCTGAGATGATATTTATGAAGGCTGCTTGAATTGAAGATGGAAATGGAGCACACCTCCATTATCTAGACACTGTCCCAGCAAACACACTCAGCCCACTCTCTGACTCACAGTGTGAAACTATCCCATCATGCCCTTGTCCTTTGTGGACCACACAGATTCTTCCTCAATGCTTCAGGCTTCTAAAGTCAGGCTTAGTTGTTCCAGATGATAATTTACTCCCATTGTTCTGCATCTAATCTGCGTATACCTTTTTTTATTGTGGTTTCTTAACTAAGGAAGACACCCTGAGCCCAGCTCCATGAGGAAATGAGAAAGCCCGTGGTTGACCAGACCTGACTATCTGGCCATTTTCTCGTTGTGTTTTTTCTTATCTTACTTTTATTTCCATAAGCAGATGAATATTCTGCAGTATCTTTATTGTTATTTTACCTAATTTTCTCTTTATGTGTTGTGGGCCAAATGTATGCTCTTGGATGTTCTAATTAATGGCATGTTATTACTGTTATTCATTTTGCATTACTTTCTTCCAATAAGATGGAATTCCTTCACATCACTGTCAGTTACTCTTCTCCATGTCTCTGTATTTATTTCTCCTCACTTAATAATCCCACGTCTTTGAACTGTTATCAAAGTAGTAGTGAGCTTGCTTCCATACAGGCCTGCTGCTGGTTACTGTGATTACTGGAGGGAGTAGAGGCCCTGACAAATTACACCCACCTGCTGCACTTCCCACACTGAATCTCTTATTTCTTGGCTGAGGTTTGCTCATCTCATCTCATCCCTGTATCACACACATGTACCAGATTTCCTCATTCCCATCTCCAGACCACCTGAGTCTTTTTGGTATGTTTTCCTATCTTAATTTACCAATCTGTGGACCAAGACTCTTGGATCAAGCTCTCATAATTTATGCTTCTAAAATTGAAACATTTTTTTCAATTCTTAAGGAACTCTAATGATATTTTGGTTTTACCCACCTACATTATTTGGTAATTTTCCCTCATCTCCTCGCTATTACCATGCAACCCCTTAACCTAGACTTTTAATTCCTTGCTCTTACTTACCTTTGCTTTATTCAGCCTTGACCTTTTCCTAAGATCTCTAACAAGATTGAGTGGAAGATTTTCAAAAGATAGGCAAAAGATCATTATTTTCCAAAACCAGACATTTTCAATACAGACTTCATAAATACTTACAGTCAAAACAGCCTGGGGGGCAGAGCAGGGACTTCTTTGAACATGGAAGTGATAGTGGTAGAAACTACTTTCAGTTGGTCTAAGTGCCCAGCTCTTCTCGCACTCCTCTAAGGCAGGATGCAAACCAGCCAGGCTGACAGTGAGGATAATGATGCCCATGAAAGCAAATGAAACACTCAGGATGTTCATAGTCAGGCTCCCATCTACCTGAAATGAGTAACAGCTTTCACTTATACCTCTTTTCCAAAATGTTGCACCAATTCTCTTCATCTTCATCAGCAGCTGAAAGATTAATAATTCATTTCTCTATTCTCCCTAACTCATAATTGTGATCACTAGAAAGAGGAGAGGTCCTTGTTTTTTACCCTTATTTTTCCTAGACTCCATTTCCTAGATGATAATTTCTCAGACCACTTTACCCAACCTCTACCATATGTATTAGGCCCAAAGAATGTCTAGGAACACATAAATGGCAATTGAGTGGAAAAACAGTATTTCAATAATGAGAAAGAAAATATTCCCCTGGAGAATTCACCTATGACTTTTAATGGAACCCTGTAATGTAAAACTGGACAATTCTCAAGACAGTGTGAGTAAAGGAGGAGGTGCAGACACCAGCTGTGTTCCCTGTACCTCAACATTCTCAGTGCTATAGTTTGGATTTGATGGGGCCTGAGACCCACATGTTAAAGACCTGATCCCCAGGTAGATGATACTGTGAGATGTCAAAAGCTCTAGGAAGTGCATCCTGATCAAAGGTTCCTCATCAGAGAAGAGCCTGTGAAGAGGGAATATCAGAAATAGTAACTTCATCTTACCCTGTCTTTTCTTTCTTGCTGCTATGACACATACCTTTGCTCTCTTTAGCATGAAACATGCCTATCTACAAGCTCAGAACAACAAATGGATCCACCAAAAGCATGCACTACTAAACATACAAAATATGAGCCCAAATAAAGCACTCCTCTTTTTGAGTAGAGTTATCCAAGAGTTGATCTTAGACACCAATACTGGCTAATTTGCTCAAAATACCATGCCCTGCCCATAGCCCACACATGGATGTATCAACTACACAGAAAAAGCAGGTGAAGTAGTTCATTCCTTACATACTACTCAGAAGTTCATATGATCAAAGGTGTTGGGACTTTGTTCTCATTTTCAGTAGGATTATGATTGGCAATGACCAGGGCCATGTGGGGATGGCTATAGATGGAAATATAGACACATGACTAAGGATGTTGTCATTTGTGGAAACAGCATGAGGCAGAAAGAAACAGGATGGAACTAGATGTTGGTAAATTGATGCCATGGTGTCAGAGTTCCTTGATCTTTCATTGTTCTTGAGTACATAGTCCCAATGTTCACTTTGGATCTCATCTCTACAACATTTATAGTGTCAGTGAAATAAATAAACTTTTCTCAATAGTGACTTCCTTTCTTCCTCAACTTATAAAAAAATGAAAATTGAGCTAAGACCTGTCTGAAAGTCATGGTTACAGGTAGGTGTCTCCAAGGTGTACCCAGCTATCTTGCACTGGAGTGATATAATTTCAGCCACTTTTATTTTAGACTGATTGTATAAATCACTCAGAATTTGGTGCTTTGGGGTGCTACTTTCTACACATAGTGACTAAAGTTAAACTCTTGGACTCCTCTAGCAATAGTTGTAATCAGGATGCTGGTCTGATATATTCTTAGAAAAACTATGTTTATTCTAGCTGTCATTCTTCTTTAGTCTCCCATGGGATGAAAGGAGCATTCTTCAGCATATATTAAGTGTCTTTCATTCTTATTCTACCTCATTCTACCTAGAGACTACCTATATCCTTGGTTGCTTTTAGTCATGGTATTTTACCACAGCAACAGAAAAGTAATTAATGCTCTATGTATTTGAAAGACTGGTTTAGTCATATCTCAACAAGTAAATTCTCAGGCTATTGCATTACATGATGTTCTCTCATGACTTCCTGGATCAACTCCTTGAGGAATGTGAGTTGACTGATGGATGAGTCGGTGAATCTTTAAATATCTCAAAAGCTTCCTCCTATTGTCCATCTTTCTTCTCCCAATGACTTCAGTTTTCCCTGGAAACTGGTAGGTAAAACTGAACTCTTAGCCAAAAACAAATAACTGCTGAGACTTTCAGAATTCAAATATTCTGCTTCTTGGTTCAAAAATGTATACTCAATCTCAGCAAAATCATTACTGTTATGGAGATGTAGATGGAAGATGGTTCTCACGTGCACATTTTGAGATTATATAGGATATCCACAACAAACTTAACTCTTTATAAGTAAGGACATTAGCTTCACTACTGAAGAGTAAAATTTGAAAGGTTTTTGTTAGACTTTTCATTGGTATGACAAAATGCTTCACATAAACAACTAAGCAACAAAATATATTTGGCTCACAGTTTCAGAGTCTTGGCATACCAGAGTGAGGCTGGTGTGGCAGAGAAGAGCAGTTCACAGCATGGTGGTCATAGCAGAGGTCATTGAAACATGGTGAGAGGATATCTGTGCCAAGCACATGTCAATTTCTCCTGCCTACTCCATCTGAGTCTTCATCTTAAGGCATGACACTATCACATTTTGGAAATAGAACAGCCTCAGAGGTATGCTTTATTAATCTCCAAGGTGTTCCTCAATCACCTCAATCAAGTTGTTGATCAAGATTAATTATCATAGCCTGTGGCCTACAAAATAGAGCTGTAAGAAAGCAGGAGTTTTACGTGAGATTCCTTGGCACTGGTCTTGGGCCTAAGGCACAGTAAGATTTCGGTCACTGTGACAGGAAGAATGTGCTCTATATAGGGATATTTAGAACCCAGAATCAGCTCACAAATAGAACAAGTAATTACTGAAGGGCTTAGCTTGCAACTTCAGTGTGGAAGCTGAGCCCTGAATAGTTCTCTCTGGGTTCCATCCTCATCAGTTCGGGGTTATGGATCTTGTACTCACCAAAGACTTCTTTGACTTTGTCTCCGTAATGACTGTCAGAATTCCAGAGATAATAAACTGCTCAGACAAGAGGAAAACATCGCCAGGTTAATTTCTATGTACAAAGTGACTACGGTATTACTCTCTTGGCTTTATGAGAAATTTCCATGGGAACAGCCCAAGAAACAAATGACCAATGATACACTTAGGCTCCCATAGGAGTCCATGTACTATTCAGAAAACACAAAAAGGTAGACAAGAGCAGAAATCTATCCCATTAAAATAATACTTTAAAGGTAGTAAAAACGTATCATGTTAATTGGAAAGGAAAAATTTGGAATTAGATGATTCTAGATCCTGAAGCATTGGTCTACAGGGAAAGAGAATAGAAAATAGGTTTGGGTTATTTTTTTTATCATCCTCAGTGCCTTCAACAAAGCCAGATTCTAAGAATGAAAGTGCTCCTTCCTGCCAGGTAGTCAGTCCACTGGGTGTCACTACATTATATAGAAAGCTCTAGATCACATGGATCTCATTTTCTGGATGTTTTACTCAACCTATAGAGGCCACTAAATTCATCATAGCTCAATAGGTGGGAAGAAAAAGATGATATTCGCAAGAAATGCTTATTTGAACTAGATGAATAGCATCTTCAGAATGGTGTAACCTCTGCCCTAATACATTAAGACTTTCTGTGGATGACACACAGAAAAAACAGATCTACCACCCACCTCTTTCTCACAGTAGACAGAAACTGAGCTAGGTGATAGCTCCCTCCTCTGTTCTCCCATCTTGCTCCACACAAATCTCTACTTACAAACAAGGATCCTACAAATGGGTAGCCAGATTTTAACAGGAGAGAAAACACTGGGGTAAAGTGTATGGTGTTTGGAGTAGATGCCAAAATGATGCCCAGACACAACACCATCACACCACACATGATCTGGATCGCCTGTCAAAAGAAGAGAGATGGGAGATTAAAACCAGCACTGAAAGAGGAACCTCTCCCCTCCTCCGGTGGTACTTATGTATTGCCACCTTCTACAATGTCACTGTAACACACAGACACTGTAAAAGCTCTGGGGTGAGAGGAGGGCAGTTCATTCTGAAGGGGAGGTGGCTCTGCTACAGTCTCAGGCCACCTTCAGGTGTTTGTGTTCATGAACCCCTGGCATGCTCAAAAGACCCTAAGATCTCCTGGCTGGGGCTGAGCTGTGAGTTCATGGTTAGCAAGTCTCCTGCTCCCTCTTGTGGTAGGAAGAGTAATCTGAAAGCCCTTCAATTGATGACCTCTTGCCACATCTCCCAGAGCCCACAGAACACCACCATGAGCTAGCCTATCTGCCCAGCTCCACAACAACTTTAATCTAGGTGTCCATTCTGGGGATCCTTAGCCTCTGTATTAAAAGGGCAATCGTGTCTTTCTGTCATCCTCATTCACCCATAGACTCTCAGCCCTTTTAAGTTTGGTTAAGCAATTTAAAAAGTTTTTGTTACATGTACTTCAAAGCAATTCATATGATTGTATGCACAAGGTAAGGCCATTGGTTCTATTAAGCTCTGAAACTGGGTAGCACAGAGGCCCATGTAGATAGTGTTGGCAGAGACAACACTGAAAAACAGCCTCGGCTTTCTTCACAGCACAAAGTATTTGTTCTTTCTCATTTCCTCCCTTTACCCAAAAAAGTCCCTTTAGTAAATCTGGGATGAGAGCAGAAAAGCAAACCAATGTTTTTTTTGTTTTGTTTTGTTTTTGTTGTTGTTTGCCACATCTCCCAGAGCCCACAGAACACCACCATGAGCTAGCCTATCTGCTCAGCTCCACAACAACTTTAGTCTAGGTGTCCATTCTGGGGATCCTTAGCCTCTGTATTAAAATGGCAATCGTGTCTTTCTGTCATCCTCATTCACCCCATAGACTCTCAGCCCTTTTAAGTTTGGTTAAGCAATTTAAAAAGTTTTTGTTACATGTACTTCAAAGCAATTCATATGATTGTATGCACAAGGTAAGGCCATTGGTTCTATTAAGCTCTGAAACTGGGTAGCACAGAGGCCCATGTAGATAGTGTTGGCAGAGACAACACTGAAAAACAGCCTCGGCTTTCTTCACAGCACAAAGTATTTGTTCTTTCTCATTTCCTCCCTTTACCCAAAAAAGTCCCTTTAGTAAATCTGGGATGAGAGCAGAAAAGCAAACCAATGTTTTTTTTGTTT